ACTCTCCCTATATATACAAGGCTCGGACTACATTCAAAGGGTTCAACACCAAAACAAAGCCTCCCACGGAGCAACTTATTTTTTCCTGTAATACACTTCCAAAACCCGCCACCAACACCATTTGACCACACACCATGGCTTAATCATACATTAGCTAGAATCAATCCGTTAATCTAATTGAACTTGGGAACTTATCTGCTTGAGTTATTTATTTTCTTTCTTCCTTGTTTTATTTATTTCCCTTCTTTTTTATTTCTGTTTTGTGTAGGGAAAATGGATTGAATCATTCAATCACCAATCCTCGTGGGATCGACCTCGCACTTACATACGCTAAACTACCAACGGTTCGTGCACTTGCGAGTATCACAAGTTGAGGATGCAACTGAATCCATTTTGGTGCAGCTGTATCTACGCAACAGATCTCGGCCAGCGTTCCAGTAACGACGGATCGCACGGCCGAATCCATACAGGAACAGGCAGTAGTGGAGGAACTGATGTCCAAGCAGGCCAACAGGATAGAAACATCCCTCATAGCCGCGATGGACAGGTTCTCCTCAGAACTACGGACGCTTTTTCAGGAGAGGATGCCGGTGGCCTCGCCCGCAACACCTCCCAGAGCCGGACCGAGGAGCCAAGAGCGCGAGGGAATCGAGCCTTACGGCGAAAGCAGCGGCCTCAGCGTTTCGGCCCACACGCAAGCATCAGGCTATGGCCAGCATTCTTTGCCACCAACGAACAGCTGGGGGCAGTCCCAGCCCACGTGGGCGAACTCTGGACCAGCCTACTCGGCAGAAACAGCGCGCGGACCGCTCCATGCTTTGGCCGTATCACTAGGGCACGGCAGCTTCGCGCATCCTGCGAGCCACCCGCTCGGCCCAGTTCATACTGCGGCCGTCCACACCCATTTTGGCCCAAGCAACGCGACCGCTGTATCATCACAACAGTACGGTCAGGGCAGTCTGACCGTCTCACCACCGTTGCAGGCGTCGTTGTGTCCTTTGGGCTCTCACCTTCACTATGGGTCGGCCGTTCCGGCAACAACACATACGCACCACGGCCAAACCCACGGTGCTCATCTGGCATCAACTAGCTCGGTCATCCCGGCCGAGCCCTTTGTTCGGCCGTCCACACCCATCCTGGCCCAAGCAACGCGACCGCTGTATCATCACAACAGTACGGTCAGGGCAGTCTGACCGTCTCACCACCTTTGCAGGCGTCGTCGTGTCCTTTGGGCTCTCACCTTCACTATGGGTGGGCCGTTCCAGCAACAACGCATACGCACCATGGCCAAACCCACGGTGCTCATCTGGCATAAAATAGCTCGGTCATCCCGGCCGAGCCCTTTGTTCAAATGGCCCAGCAGGCAAGTCCTCAGAACGAGGTGCTACAGGTCACGCGGCCATATGCAGCCCAACAGGAGGCACCACCTCAAGGGATCCGGCTCGAAGACGTCCGGCGGATGATCGAAGACGGCCTAGGTCAGAGGTGGCCGGATATGCCGAGGTATACGCGACCATACCCACCAGAAATTGACCGGATCCCCCTTCCCCGGAACTATCGATTGCCAGAGTTCATGCTTTTTTCTGGGGACGGGCAAACCTCCTCCATTGAACACGTCGGCCGTTTCACGGCCCAGTGTGGAGAGGCCGATTCGGACGCCCAGAGGCTCCGTCTATTTGTTCATTCTCTGACCGGCGCGGCGTTCTCATGGTTCATAAACCTTCCGCCGAACTCAATAAGGGATTGGTCTGATATGGAAAGGGTGTTCTATGAACATTTCTATCAGACCAACCGAGAAATCACGGTCGCCGAGTTGGCAAGAATGAGCCAAGCATCGGACGAGTCACCTCGCGATTACCTACAACGATTCAAAACATGTAGGAATTGGTGCCGCACGAACCTACCAGAAAGGGAGTTCGTCAAGATGGCTTAGGAAGGATTGCAATTCGAATACCGGAAGAAGTTCCAGGGAATCGAATTCTGGGACATGCATGACTTGACCAACAAGGTGGACAGGTACGTGTCCTTGTTGAAAGAAGAGATGCAGAAGAAGAAGGCCTCAAAAGGAACCTACTACAGGAATCCCATCGTCAGCTACGCCGAAGCAGACGGCTCCGCGGAGGCCAAGGGCGATCAGGTCGAGATGAGCTCGGCCGAAGTCAACATAGACAAACCCTTCGTTTGCAAAGGGCTTGTTAAAACTGACAATAGCCGCACAAAAATCCCTTTTGATTTAACAAGGGCCAGGGAAACGAAGGCCTACACTTTTGATTTAACAAGGGCCGAGGCTATCTTCGACTTGTTATGGGCCGAGAAAAAGGTGAAATTATCCTTCGGCCATAAAATCCCGAAGCCCGAAGAACTCAAAGGGAAAACGTTTTGCAAATACCACAGTTCTTGGTCTCTGTTGCGTAGATTTAGCTCCACCAAAATGGATTAAGCTGCATCCTCAACTTGTGATACTCGCAAGTGCACGA